GACAATAATATTTTAAATATCAATAAAATTTTGATATCATGTTGTTTAGTAATACAATAATTAAATCATTGCCACTATATAATTTTTAATTTAATATTTAGCATTATGTTATAATTTACTTCCTGCATCTCAATAAAATAACTATTGCTGAAATATTCTTATTCTATTTCTTTTATTTAATATTTTAATTCATACATATTTACAAATTTAATAATAAATAAAGACAATTGATGTCTTCTTGTTGATGCCTTCTTGTTGAGTCGACACACTAGACAAGCACAATGTTTCTCTCAAGAAGATATTTTGTCTTCATCTCGCGTCCGTCAGTCGTTCTGCTGGAAACGCTTCATGCACTACTCGCAAAGCATGAGCCTACGATCTCTTATTTTGTGCGGGGCGATTGCTTCTCATCACTGCTCCTGCTACAACGCATCTCTTTTAACCATGTTGTCATTGCGGATATTCGAACTCAAACCCGTCATTGCTCTCATTTACTCAATTTAGCTCGCTTCGTTGATCCATCATCCATCTCAAAACTAGAGCACATACCATACTTACCCATGATCAAAATAAGATGATTGATGCTTTGAATTCATTCGAAAATGAGGGTAAGGGTGCTCGCTCAATTTTCCTGCACTTCGTCTCCCTGGTCGTTTTGTCTCTTCCACTTCGTCTCCCATTGTCTACTCTTTCCAGTTTTAAAATGGAGTCCATGGTTCCAATTCCCAAACATAACATCAAGTATTATTTGTCAAATATTTATTTTTGTTCAGATTCATTATTGACATGTCACAAAAAAGACTAGTTAAGTATAAGTCTCAAACCATATTGAGTTTGAATAACACCACCCCAACTTCGATTTTAGTAATTTTATCATCAAATTGATCCTCTATTAAGAGCAGCCATTGATGTCCGTCAACCACCATCATATCATTATTACTCATCAATTGCCATCAAATTGGAGCCACCCACCCATTGTCGCGGATAGTGTACCAATAGCAATGGATTTCCATAACTCATCCAACACATTAGCCTACCACCGACTGTCCATTGCAACCAAATCACTGCTACCTGCCAACCCATCAAATTTCCACTGCCATACCAACACCAGCAGACTGCCACAACCTAAACAACAAAATTGCTCAATTACAATCATTCAAATAGCATCACTCCACAACAATCATCCAACCATAATCACCAATTTATAGCTTCTCGATAGCCATCATCTAATTATAATCATCCATCAATGAGCATTTGACCATTATCACTCATGATCATTTGATTATCAATAGTTGACTATGATCATCTAATTATTGATGCCCAATTATGACTGCCTAAGCTCCATCACTAGCTTACAATCACCCAACAATTTTAGTTCCTAACATTGCTTTTATGGTCAATGCATTCCATCATTGCTCTTTATCGCCTCTAGGATCAATGCATGGTGTCTTTGCACATCATTAACATGGTTGTATCTCATCTCTTATCAAGTTAATTAATGTCATTGATGTTGAGTTTAGTGGAGCCAGTTCTATTGTCCCTATTAGCAATTTAATTAATTGCTAATTAATCTCCTTCCAGATTTAATCTCCTGCTTCCTCTTCCCTTCTCCTGCCATCTTCTTCACGTGGAACCGCGTCTCCGTGTCAAGGGTCCCGCGTTGCCTCTCCTATTAAAGAGTTTTGTTTGCTTATTATAAAAGCCAACCTAACTCTCTGTTGCTAATTACTCCCTTGCAAAGCTCCCACCATCTCCGTGGCAGAAGTGTGCAAGGGAAAAAAGGAAGAGAAGGTTGCTTCTTTGTTTTTCCTTTCAGTTTGTTGGAGAGGTAGAGAGAAAGAGTGCTTTCTTGTAATTGTCGAGGTGATCGACAAGTGTAATTCCTTAAGCTAATAAAATCCGTTGCAGCTCCGTGGACGTAGGCAATTTGCCGAACCACGTAAATCTGTGTGTTCCGCTATGGTTTTCTATTTTGCGATCTTTCTCAATCCAATTTTTTGTTTTATTGTCGTCGTTTTTTCACAACAACTAGTATTAGAGCTAGGTTTAGATCTGAGGAAAAGCGATGGCCGGAGATGAAGTGATGGCATCAGGAATTGAGAAGTTTAATGACACAAATTTTGCTTACTGAAGGATGCAGATAGAGGACTTCCTCTATGTGAAGAAACTTCGTCTTTCATTATTGGGAAAGAAGCCGGAAAAGATGAACGAGTCAGAATGGAATTTGTTGGATCGACAGGTTTTGTGGGTTATACGACTAACCCTATCAAGATCAATTGCCCATAACGTCATAAAGGAGAAGACTACTGCAAATCTCATGGCGGCTTTATTAGACATGTATGAAAAACCATCAGCGAATAACAAGGTACACTTGATGAAAAATTTATTCAACTTGAAGATGACAGAAGGTATGTTTATTACTCAACACCTTAATGATTTAAATCTATCACAGATCAATTTCGTCTATTGAAAATTGATTTTGATGATGAGTATGTGTGTTGATATTGTTGGTTTCATTGTCAAATAGCTGGGAAGCCATGAGGATTGCAGTTAGCAGTTCTGCGGGAAAATCTAAACTGAAATATGATGATATTGGTGATTTGATTTTAGCTGAGGAGGTACGCAGGAAAGATTCTGGCGAGACCTCAAGTTTAAGTTCGGCACTGATTGTTTATTCCAAAGGGAGATTGCAGGACAGGAACTCAAACAGAAGAAGATCAAAATCAAAGTCTGGTCAGCATGCAACTTGCTGGAATTGTGGTAAGACTGACCACATAAAAAATGAACTGCATGAATCCTAAGAAGAAGGAGAATGATGGTATTAATGTTGTAACTAAAAAAATACATGATGCTATTGCTGGAGGTTCACAGTTCTGTTGATGATTGGATACTGGATTCAAGGGTTTCCTTCCATACATCTTCCTACCGGGAGTTAATGCGGAACTATGTTGCAGACAACTTTGGAAAGATATATCCGGCTGATGGAAAAGCTCTGAACGTGGTGGGAATGGGAGACGTTGATACTGCACTCTCTAACAATAGCAAATGGACTTTGCAAATGGTGAGATACATTCTTGAATTGAAGTAAAATCTCATTTCTATTGAGCGACTAAATGAGGGTGGTCATTTAGTGGTGCTCTCAGATAGTACCTGAAAGCTTACTAAATGAGCATTAGTACTGGCATGGGGTAAGAAAACTGACACACTATATATGACTACAGGTTTACTCAAACGTGGACACATGAGTCAGATGTGCATTATGGGGAAGCAGAAGAATGTCAATTTCCTAAAAAGTTGCAAAGCGTCAAAGGCAGGAAAACCGAATCTTGTACGGACAGATGGTGGAGAACTACAGAGTTATGAAGAAATCTTGCAGGATAAAAGTTCGAGCAAGTGGGAGCTTGCAGAACTTCCACCAGGGAAGAAGGAATTGCATAACAAGTGGGTATACTGGGTGAACACGGCGCTTGATGGTAGTAAGAGGTACAAAGCTGGACTTGTTGAAAAATGCCTTCAGCTGAGGCAGGATATTGCTCATGATGTGGAAGTAGATACATAAGTAACCAAGGAAAGAGCTTGGAGGTACGAGACTATGTTGATACTGATATGTCAAATAAGGGTGTTACTCTTGAAAAGCTGAAATTGTGCTCGACTTCAGCTGGTCTTCTAGCATGAAGACCGGGGTTTTGAGTTGCAAGGGTGGAGGATATCACATTTGAAGAAAGGACAACACAGTCAGTGGATGATGCAGTTAGTGTTTCAGTCTCCAAATGGGAGAATTGTTGAGTTTAGTGGAGTCAATTCAACTGTCCCTATTAGCAATTTAATTAATTGCTAATTAATCTCCTTCCAGATTTAATCTTCTGCTTCCTCTTCCCAGCTCTCGCCATCTTCTTCATGTGAAACCGTGTTTCCGCGTTAAGGCTCCTGCATTACCTCTCCTGTAACTTAAATAGTTTTGTTTGTTTATTATAAAAGCCAACCTAACTCTTTGTTGCTAATTACTCCCTTGCTAATCTCTCACCATCTCCTCGGCAGAAGAGTGCAAGGGAAAAAAGAAAGAGAAGGCTGTTTCTTTGTTTTTCCTTTTGGTTTGCTGGATTTTGTTAAACTAATCTTCAGACATGGCTCAAGAGAGGTCAAAAGAGTATAGAGGAGAGAGGAAGAAGTAGAGAGAAAGAGTATTTTTTATATGCAATTTCTCAAACTAGTAAAATCATCTGCAGCACCGTGGACGTAGGCAATTTGCCGAACCACGTAAATATGTGTGTTCCCTGTGGTTTTCTCTTTGCGATCTTTCTCGATCCAGTTTTCACTTTATTACCGTCGTTTTTTTTTTACAACAATTGAAACCAATGCAAACATCCACAAATCTCTTTGCCCACCAGCATTAGTTACATCAACACATGCAATGATACATTCAAGTGAATGCATATCATTCTCATTAATATTATACTAAACATGTTATCCTCTTGATTCCTGTCCTAAGAAGAGAATGATCAAATAACATTTAATACGAGTTCTTGAAGATAACTCCCAACACATTTCAAATTTCTACAACAAAATCTTTTCTTGATGATTCATCTCTATCATATTATGTCAATTCCTACATGCATAAGGTAGAACATTATTTGTAAAATAAAATATATATGAATAAACTTATTTTCACTGAATCAAAACTTATAATTTTTAGAGAAAAAATGTTAAACAAATACATACGAGGAAAGGCTGAGGTAGCTTTAATGACAGACCAGATTGGATGGTAGAAATGTCCATCCGATAATCGAAATTAAGAGAGTAAATGTCTAGATTCAACATATGTTAAAAGTAGAAGTAAACCTTACAAAAAACCTTGACATGTTACAAAAAAAATAATCTTAATTTGTAAGAATTAAATGAAAATATTTGGACAATGGACTAAAAATAATTCATTTAGCCAACCCCACAATTTATGGTATTTCGTATAAATTTCTTCTTTTATTGTGCTAAATATTAGTACAAAATTAAGATGATCATCTCACCGAAATGTCGCTTGTTTTCTTGTATGAAATACTTGTTCTAAGAGATGGCCTTCCTATCAAAATTAAAATACCATACTGTGATTCTTAATACGTCATAAGACGTCAGACAATGAACCCGGCTATTCATTTGGTCATGCATTACTTACAAAAAATTAATGAACTAAGTAATTGACCAAATATCCAATTAACTCATTGATGGTCCTACTGATATGAGAAAAATATTTATGTACGAAATACGCACGCACGCCTACGTGCGCATATCGGGAGGTATTGGATGGTTTGTCAATGTTATTGGGGTTAATAACCCCAATAACTTAACAAAACTTCTGAATGAAAACAACAAATATGAGCGCGGAACTGCAAAATGTATTAGTAGTTTATTGAGGGGTTATTGAAAGATTACACCTCAATAAACTCTCCATAACTCCCAATAAATGATATATTAGAAGGTTATTTTGTCAAATATGCACGCAGAACTGCATGCATATTTCGTACGTAAATAGTGCTCCTGATTTTTTTTTTTTCCTTTTTTTTAGTTTTTTTATACCAAGGAAATGGACAAAGTGTTATTATTATACTCGATCAAATTAAGTTTAAAGCAACTCGCGAAGCTCGACTCTATAGGCAACCCGAGGAGAGCTTCAAAGCTCATAAGCAGGAAACCTTGATTCATTAGGGCTCGTCATGTCCAGAAATAGGTAGGCCATCCCGCCCTTACCTTCAAACAGAGAAAAGGGATGATCACCGCCATGCATCTCACCTTTAGCCACCAGCTGGTATGCTCCGTCAAGTAGAAAGCAGGCAAATGCTTTGGCACGGTACAGGTACTCAGCTTTGCCTGTCAGCCTATACAACGACAGGAACACATAGGCGTTGCCACTTATTCCATGGCAGATCCCAACTCTCCTCAGAAGCCCTCGATTCCAGACCACCTCCGCCGCATCCACCGCCGCTCGTAAGAATTGCTCGTCGCCGAACACCTGCAGCCATTGTTCAATGTCACAAAGGATGGTGAGTACGAGCACTTGCCGTTGATGAACAATGGAGACAAGCAATTGTGGAACCAGAACTTAAATATAAGCATGGCCAGTATTTAAGTTTAAAACCTTCATATTAAAAAAAAATACATTTAATAGTAAATTATTATTAAATAATTAAATTTAAGGAACAATTTTTAGTTTATTATATGATATTAAATAATTTAATGAAAATTTAGAGGTGCAGAGTGTCTCCCCCAACCACCCTCTGGTTCCACCAATGAAAGACAAAGATAGCAATCACCTGAGCAGCTTTTACAAGGGTGAGGGCGATTCCGGGGGCGCCGTGGCACCAATGAACAAGTCTATCAGTGTCAGAGTTCTCGCTCGAGGGATAGTTTCCGCTAGGAAAACGGTTCTTGATCATGTAAAAAAGAGTGCCTTTAACATATTCTCTCTCTTCAGGATTCAGTTCCATGTCCATCAGAACATGCATGATTCCTGCTAAGCCATGAGCTGCTCCCCAATATTTCTTGCCATGCCATTCATACATTAGAGGACAGCTTCCATTGTTGGATAACTGCCTTCCTTCTCTAATCACTTCCTTTACTACTGAATCCTAAGGAGTAGTCAGTGACAGTGTGTCAACGCGAAATTTTGTTGTTAGCCGATGGGTAAGTAAAGGCAGCAGAAAAAAGAGGAGATGAGAGCATTACTCACTGTAAAGGTGGAAGGGATTGTCCCCTCTCCAATGTGCTTGTTAAGGAAAGAACATGCCCAAAGGTATCCGGCTCTTCCATACAGAAGCTCATTAGGGACACCAGCAGGCAATGTAATCTGTTTACAGGAGAAATGTTGAAAGGGTTGAAAAAAAAAAAGAAGATTTTTCAAACTTAAGGTGAAATTCTGAGTAAAACTAATAGCAAATTCTGAGTAATAGCTTATATAAATGAAACCGCAATGACTCAGAATTGGTATCCACGATTTTTTTTTTTTGGATTTCGAAAATTCACAGAAGCTGATGTTAAAATACTGATTAAATATTGATTTTTTGGTGCAACTGGCGTTGTACGAGATTTACAAAATATTGCATGGAATCTAACTACTACACTATTTCTATATAAGCAAATTTTCATGTCCATGAGTGGCTGATTTGAAATGTTGGTATTACACAATATAATAGGAAAAATGAGGACGATGACCTGGTTTTCTTCTGTGCATGGATAAACCATTTCATGGTTTTTGGTCTAAAGCTAGTTGGGTAGGTTTTTCTTAGACTTATTATATAGCCATTCGTCCCCTTGTTTTATATTGCATTAAGAAAAAAAAATTACAGATTTTCCTCTTGAGTTCAGCCGCTAAAGAAGGGCTCTTGATCTCTCCTATTGCAGACCGTGGCAAAGCGGTTGGGAGAATTAGTTAGTGGGGGTTTATCTTGGTCGGTTGCGCCATAATTTTGTTGGGGAAGGGTACATAATTTAAAAGCTCTTGCAAACTCAAGATGAGAATTTGATGCAAAATGAATTTTAGAGCTAGTTCATATTTAGGATTTTAAATTTATGTATATCGGACCTTTTTTTCATGTGATTGTCACACTTAATTAGCCCTATGTAATTACCCTTATGTTCTGAGTCATCAGAAATTTTTACATTTTGGACCTTAAGTTTCAAACCTATTCATGCCATTGACGAGCCATTAGGTTTGCTAGTCATGTATGTGCATAAGCTAGCCTAGCTCTCTTCTTCAGATTTTATTTTAACCATAATTGATCAATTAAGCCTCCATCTAATCATTTGACCACTTCATCACCTTCAACCACCATCTCTCTCACTCTCTCCCTCTCTCTCTCTCACTCTCTCTAAATTTAAAAAAAAAAATACATTGTTTACCTTGGAACACCTTTCCTTTATTATTGTCCTTCGAAAAACAAATAAAATCACTTGGAAATCAACCCAAACCCTTCAAACTTCCCAAGAACTCTTCAAATTGATGTCATCAAGAATTCGCCCTCCTTCCCTATGCATGGCCAACCACCCCTTTGTCCTTGCACCTCTTGAGCTAGCTCTCGGACAAGCCTATAAATATTGATCTCATTCTCTTTGAAGTTCATGCATTGCTGAATACAACTGACTTTATTCTACACTTCTTCGAATGCTTCACCACAAGAGAATGAAGAAAATCATTACAACAAAGGACCATTAGTGGAAGTAATCTTCAGCTATTCCTCGCTCCACTTGCGTGTAAATGTTAACTCTCCTGCAAGTTGGATCCTTTTCTAAGCTTAAAATAAGTTTAAGAGGTCTAATTTCGTTTAACTCAACTTACATTAAAAAATTAAAATTTAACCTCGCCACTGTCCAAACTCGCACTAGGAGTCAACCAAATGTAAACTTTCAATAGTTTTTAGAAAGGTGATTTAGCTGAACCATTAGTATATTTCACTTATGCATTAGCAGTTAGTTTGCATTCATCCTACAATAAATAGTTTGCATTTGTCCTAATATCATTTTTAACATCCAAGCACTTTTTTTTGGAAAATAATTATTCCTACATGTTATATAGCATCATCATATCTTTGCATTTTATAAAAGTGCTAAACGACTTTTGATGTAGTCAAAACCTTCTGGGTGTGATATTAACTTCTTATTTAGCCACTTTAAAAATGTTAAGTCTATCTAGCTTCATTTGATATCCAGAAATTTCTCAAAGATTGTTCTTATTGTTAGCATTTGCATATTATTTTATTATAGAAATTAAGAAAAAATCTGTAGATCTTCACTTAATTATGTTCTTTACTTATTCATCAAAATTTCCTATAAAAAAAATTGCAAATTGTAGTAGAGTAATTACATACATCATGCACAATCTTTTCTGTCACTATATTATTGCATAGCTTACAACTCTCAATATTTCAAACTATTTCATTATAAGTCGAAATCTTACATAGAGTTGATATTTTGTCAATTTCTGCCATTTAGGCCACTTAACACCTCAAAACCCAACAGCAAATAATTATCCCTCCCTCCCTTTTAAACTATATCATTTCAAGTCGAGATCTTACATAAAAGCAGTTGATTCTCTCTCTCTCTCTCTCTCTCTCTCTCTCTCTTTCTCTCTATCAATCTATATATATATATAGGCCAACCCATAGCAGACAACCATATCATATCTTAATAACTTCTTAAGGTGGCTATTCCTATCATTATGAAGGTTATTTAAAGCTTTAAAGAATATTCCAAGCTCTTATTACAAGTCAAAACCCATGATCATGACGAAGCTGGCTAGCTCTATACTTCACGACTTCTGAGACTATCATCCTAGAGATTGAAAAGACTACAATTGATGTTTCTAATCCAATAGATGGGTTGAACATCATTACTCATATAATGATTATCGATTTAAGGAATGATGCAATAGACTTCAGGAGCAAACAAAAAACCTCATCCTCATACACCAACAAGCAAGCATATCATGAGTTTAGGCCAAGTTTTACAGAAAAAAAAATTGAGTCGACCCTACTTCCTGAATTTAGTTATGAATTCATTGATCCATTGCAATTCTTATTAATGGTAAAGAAGCTAAAGAACAACAAACTAATATAGAGAATGATGTGAAATTTTGTTTAATAATCTTAGGGATGGATAAACATAGTGACAGAAGCATCTGTATAAGTTGTTTAATAAGAACTAACCACTCATAAGCCTCCTAGGTTTTCTACTGAAACTTAATAGTATTGTGCCTTGAATATATTCTTTAAAGAGCTCCATTGACCTAGATTAATGGTAAAGAAGCTAAAGAACAACAAACTAATATAGAGAATGATGTGAAATTTTGTTTAATAATCTTAGGGATGGATAAACATAGTGACAGAAGCATCTGTATAAGTTGTTTAATAAGAACTAACCACTCATAAGCCTCCTAGGTTTTCTACTGAAACTTAATAGTATTGTGCCTTGAATATATTCTTTAAAGAGCTCCATTGACCTAGATTAATGGTAAAGAAGCTAAAGAACAACAAACTAATATAGAGAATGATGTGAAATTTTGTTTAATAATCTTAGGGATGGATAAACATAGTGACAGAAGCATCTTTATAAGTTGTTTAATAAGAACTAACCACTCATAAGCCTCCTAGGTTTTCTACTGAAACTTAATAATATTGTGCCTTGACTATATTCTTTAAAGAGCTCCATTGACTTGGAACCATTCCAAATATTTAGCCATTGAGCGTTTGAGCAAAATAATGGCCATATCTACTCAATAGATGTATTGTGCATGTTGAATTAGCCTGCTAATGAGTCACCCCTAACTTAACTTTGCACAAGCAAACGCAAGTACATTTGTTGAATAAGTAAAATAATGTATTTGAGTGTAGGATCATTTCCATGATGATTCGTTCTGATTATTGAAAATGAAATTAAGCAATAGCTCAAAACCATAATTTCTATCCAAAATTAGAATTTTTTAAAAGAAAATTTTCAGGTTTCTAAAATGTCAAAAATTCCAAATATGTGAAATTCTTTTGAATTTGTAATTTATAACATCAAAATTTAGGGATATTAATTTCATTTAAAAAATTATCCTTAATCCAAAATAAAAATAGCTTAAAGCCTCTGTCGATATTAAAAACGCTAATTTATAAAATCCTTAGTGTGATATGTCTATGCAATTAGTTTATTTTACAATTTTTTTTTTTCATTTTCCTAAGTGATTGCTATCATTTAAAAGTAATATGACTATTCTTTCACACCCTAGTTATGAATCTTCCTTATATAAATTAAGACATTGTCGATATCATTAACTTATACTAAATATTAAACAAGAGTGTGACCATCACTAATAATAAATGAAATAAGAAGAATCACAAATAAATAAAGGATTGCAACGTGCTATGAAAATAAATCCAAATAAATTACTTATAAATCACAAATTCAAAGGAAAATACAATTAACATGGCATGTTTTTACAATCAAACCACAAGTAACTCTTCACTTCACTCGAATTGTGACAGTCACAAGAGAATTCAACAAAAATGAAAATAAAATAATAAAAGATTTAGGATTTAGCAAATTGTAGACTGGAGTCGCACCTCTAATTCTCCTTATCCTCTTTCTTGCCTCTTCTTTGCTTCACTAAGCCAAGTGACGCTCCATTTCCTTAGACACACTAACACACTCACAATACAATATTTAATATGACATACACCACTCCACTAAACTCCTCTCCATTTTTTTAAAGTCATTTCCCGCTCCTAGCTGTCATTCACCATTTGTAATTTTAATTTAAAAGTGCATAACTGTTCTTGGTCAGTTTGTGGTGTTGTGGTGCTCTGGGTACACAGTTGTGAAGCTGGGAAAACACTACAGTGCTCAAGGTATTGCACTGCGGTATTACGTTTTCTATCTTTTGCCTACTTGCTCTGGCATCGATAGCGGCGCGGAGCTCCATTCCAGTGTTGCAGCGCTGGATACTTGGCTCTCCAAGATCTCAAGAATCTTGTTATTGAGAAAATCCAACATGGCACCTAGGCACTAGACATCACACTGCGAGGTTGCATAAATTTCACCAAATCCTTTTGAAAACTTCTCTGAGAGCTTTCTTGCACAAAAACATACAATAATGCTATATATAAAAAATAATGAAATAAAGAAGAGATTTGAGGCATATTTTTATGTGTTTTTCTCACGCAATATCCATGTACTTGATGTTGAGGCTCTCCATATCTCTCATGTTGAGGCTCTTCTTATCTTAATATCTCATATCTTATAAACATCTTTTCTTTATTATTTTTCTTTGGAAAACACATGAAATCCCTTGGAAATCAACCTAAACCCTTC